ACCCTAACCCTGACCCTGACCCTAACCCTGACCCTAACCCTAACCCTGACCCTGACCCTGACCCTGACCCTGATCCTAACCCTAACCCTGATCCTAACCCTGACCTGTACTATTATATAATATTCTTAAAATCGTTTTCAGTTCCTCTCCCTTGGCGGTGCAACCACGTCATGATTTCATAGAAATGATGATAAACTGCAGGATAACATGGCGGGACAATGGATTTCAAACGAATTTTTTTTTTAAATCTGTTTATTCCCTGTTTATTTGGCATGCATTTGATTTAAGAACTTGATTTGCCAACCCGTCCTACCCCACGGAGCTAACAACTTCAGTTTTTTCTCACCTGCTGTCTCATTACTCTGGCTCTGTCCTGTTTCTGTGCTTAAAAATGAGACACTTCTGGAGTCTTTATATTTGCATGCTGGACTTTAACGGCCCTTCTCGGGTTAATATTGCATTTCCTCCACTTCCCGCTGCCCTGATCCAGCTCCCAGCTCAGCAACGCCTGAATGATGAATCTATGTGACACTTTGCTGGTATTTGTGTTAAGCCCCCCCCTACCAGTGCTCTCTAACCTGAGGCTAATGCTAGCTTAAAGTCCTCAGCCCCGTTTCCTCCCCTCTCTCTCTCTCCCTGTCAGGCCGAACTCTGAAAGATTTATACCATGTAGTGAGAGGGAGGATCGGTGAGGAATCCAGGTCAGGGCAAACTAGAACACCATTTCCACCCAGCGATCAAACGGTCCTTGACAGGGAACAACTCCACGTATTTATCGCACGATATCCAGCCATTTGTCAGCGATGTGACACTTCACAAAGCTGGAGCACTTTTTTTTACTATTTACTTTATATATCTGATGATAGAATTACATAAATGTTCAAATCGGCTTCCTATTTTTAAGCTAACCAAACCCTAACCCTATCAACAATTGTGATGTAGGTAAATGTTAGGTTGTATCATTTCTGAATCTGCATGACGACTCACTGAATCGGACCGGGTGCTTTAGGGCCTTAAGATGGGATGTGGTGCCATTTAAATAAATCTCTATTCGGCTGAACCCCATCAAACTTGGTTCTTTGCAAACTTGTCTGCTCTTTGTCGGCTCATCCCTTGAGTTAGAGGCCTGTTTTCAAACCCAAATGTTCAGGTACAAGAGCAGGACTGAAATAAAAGAAAGAGCAGCAAATGTCCAAAGAAAAAAAACTTGGAAGAGCTCCAGAAAAGCCTGGAAAACTATTGCTCAGGAAAGATTTGACAGGTTGCTGGACAGCATGACTTATTGAAGGAAAACATGACATGCAAATAGACTTTTGCACTTTAGGGATGACTTGAAGGTCTGTGGGGTTCATGTTCTATGATCTAACGATGGCAGCTATGAATATTTCTAAAGTTATAGTTCACCTCGGCTCTCAGCTCTGACGATGAATTTAGATATAAATAACTCAAAGACAGAAAAGATATCAGACAACCACCAAAAAACAAAATAATAAACAAACGGAGCAGAAAGAGCTGAGATGTGAATATTGTTTGAAGCTCAGCTTAAACTCATTTGACCCTCTGGTGCAAACTGGGCTTAAGTGACTTATGTGATTAGCTAAATGGAGCAGAATGAGGAATCATAATCACTGTTTAACACAGAAAAACACAAGAAAACACAAAATATTTCACAAAATAGCCATGCATGTCTATGACATGAATGTGTCAAAACATCATTAATTTGGTGATTAAATTAGTGAAATCAGTGGGAATCAGTCCTACATCATTAGCATAAAAACCTGATGACAGAGCTAATTAAACGTATGGTTTAAGCTTCTTTATGAGAAATATGTACAAAATAACTGCATATTTCTGTGTTGGTCATATTGTAAGTTTTGATGTGAAAAAAGGTGTATTTATTTTATTGAGGAATAGTGCTTGTATCCCTGTTAGCTGCCATGGTACATAATATAGCATTGTTCTCAGTTTGTTGATGAGATTATTGAGATTATTATGTAGCCCTGTGAAGACCTGACAATGAAAGTTTAATGTGTCTTATCACTGAATAAAGCATCAGTGAGGAAAAACTTACATTTCTGGGCCTCAGTGTTCTTCAAAGTTCAGATAAGCTAGCTGCTACATGCTAGCTGCTAACATAAGCTACAGCCTCTGGGTTACTCTTCATTGTAGAGGTGTTGTTTTATTTGATGTGTGACGAATAAAGTCATAACTCAGTTAACAATCACATCATTAGAAAGTGTGAAATAAACATAAATAAACTAGGTTGTTTTGGGGCTGTGTTAACTGAACATTTCTGTAGGCTAAATGCTTGTGTCAACCCATGAAGGCAGAACTCTTTAGCCCAGGATGATCAAACTGTCCAGCAGGATTTTGACTCGTCAATACGACATTAGCAGACAATGAACTGATTCGAGAGGTTGATTTAATCAGAAGCAGGGACTCTCTGAACCACATTCTGACCTGCTTTAGACTGGCTATCCTCTTTGATCCAATTCTTTTGAATGAGCAAAAATGGTTATTGTGTCTTAAACGTTTTTTACAGTCTGTAAAAAAGGTGAAATGACTCATATGCTGGTTAAACTACAAGCTCTTCTCACTTCAGGCCTAGCAGCTCCACGTCTGAGGAGGAAAACACTCCCAGAAAATCAAACTTATCCAGTCGTGACCAGTGATACTTCACTTAAAGGAACATTTCAGGGACTAAATCTGGTGATGGTGTTACATTTTCTGACCAACCAACATGGATCTTTGTTTGTTTTGGAAAAGAAGGATAAAAAAATCCTTGTGATGTGCACCAATGCTGTTCACTTCAGATTTTTGGATTTGTTAGATGTGGGACACACTTGTTTGCCTCAAACTGATCAAGTCATTGTAGCTCAAGCTTTGCTTTTTATGTGAAATAAGGAAAAAGGACCAGAGGCTCCTGACTGACCCTCTTTACCTGCATTCCTGAGCACCGACAGAAGGTTAAAGAGGCTCTGAGCGAGCTCTGGCGCCCACATTCTGCACATGCCAGCCTCCTGACACCCTTTGGCTTTGAGTTTTAATTCCTGGAGGTGCGTGGGAAACCGAGAGCCGGACTTATCCAGATAAAAAAGGGGGCTTAAGGAGGGAGGAAGAAAAGACAGAAAAAAGACTCACCGATTCTCTCTGTGTTCCCACAAGGCCCTGAGGCAGCCATGTTAACCCCTTCGCTCCAGGCTGCCTCTCCCTCGGCCTGCATGAACACCCCAAACTCATCCTCCTCTTCCTCCTCCTCCTCCTCCTCCTCTTCCTCCTTCCTCCTGTCCTCAGTGGCCACGTTGAAGCCCCTCTCCTCCTCAGTGGGCTCCTCGGGCTTCCCTCTCCAGTCTCTCTGGCCTCCTCCGTCCTCGGCTGTTTCTCGGACCTCCCCCTCTTCCCCTTTCTCCTCCTCCCCTTCCAGACTAATAGCCAGGAGGGGCAGGGAGGGGGCCGGATTAGCCCCGGGGGGCCGGGGGCCGGTTGTCCGAACGTCCGGCTTTTCCCGGCCGTGGGACGGCGAAACATCCTCTGAATCCCCGTTTCTCTCTGCTCCTTCGGGGTCCCCCTCCTCTCCGGGGTCCCCCCCCAGCCTCCCCAGCCCCCCAAGTCCCGAAGCCCCTCTGTCAGACTCCAAAACGGGAGACGGCGAGACTCTTTTCTCCCCCGTTTGGCCGCCGCTTTCTTCGTTTCCGGGGCGACCGACGGGTCCCCC